TGTGGGAATTCTACTCTTATTTGAGGAACCTCCTTACTGTTTTCCGTAGTGGCTGTACCAATTTGCATTCCCACCAGCAGTGTATGAGGATTCCTTTTTTCCCACAACTTCTCCAGCACTTGTTGTTACTTGTCCTACTGATAATATATATTCTAATAGCTGTAATGTGGTATCTCATTGTGGTTTTGATTTACATTTTCCTAATAGCTAGTGATGTTGAGCATCTTTTCATATATTTGTTGGCCATTTGTATGTCCTCTAGGGAGAAGTGTCTGTTCAAATCTTCTGCCCATTTTTGATTGGATCATTTTGTTGTTGTTGTTATTGAGTTGTATGAGTTCTCTGTATTAAATTGGGGCACTTTTTAAACCTACTTTACTGCAAATTTTTGAACTATGGTGCAGCAAATGCTTGACACTACTGAAAGAAAAAGGACTAAAGTTATTCATGTAATATTGCAATTATAATAATGTTCATAATTATTGTTATTAGAACTGATAAATTTAGTGACATGACCTCTCACCTAAAAGGCTTTACTTCAGCAATTCTGAAACTTCAGTTGAAACCTCAGTTGGAAGCAAACAATGAAGACTATTATATCTTGTCCTATTTTACCTCCAGTGAAAGGCTCATGTGCCCTGTGCAGGTTTTAGGTAGGCATTTTACAGACTCCCAGACTTTTAGAGTTGGAAAGCCTTAAAAGTGTCCTCTATTTTAACCCTTTAAGATGGTGGTAGAATATGTTCCATAGCTAACCATCCAGTCCACAGTTAAACATCGTGTCCTAGAATGAAAAGCTCATTACCTTGGATGGAGACCTCTAATCATCAGATTTCGTTCTTTTGTCAAGCCAAAATCTGTGTCACTATTATGTCCACCTATTGGTCTTTCTGGCCCTCTGGAACCACATGGAAAAATCTCATTCTTAAAATGTATGATACAATCACCTATCGATTATGTTATAGAGATGCCTATTTTCTTGTAGAAAAAATTAAAAAAGCCCAGCTATATAGCTCAACAGCTTAACTCACTTTGAATCACTGTTCCTTTATCTAGCTTTATTCCTGAGAAATTCTTCCTCACAGTTCCCTGCTTTAGCCC